CGTTCCCGTATACCAAGCTCTGCCGGGAGAGCTGCGGTACGTGCCGTCGCCTCCTGCAGTAGTCTTACGAAGCGCTCCTTGTCTTGCTTCCGAACGTTCCAGTACTTTAGAGTTCTGTCTCTGGTCTGTCCGTTTCGTAGAGTCGTTGCATGGTTCGCCACCTCAAAGACAATGTGCTGATGATCGCTGGCTATGTAGTCGTCGATCACCCTCCATCTTCTTATTCGTGACGAAATCGTGCTTAAAGTTATTGTCACATCAGGTATTGAGTACCCGAAGCTAGGTTATCTGTACATCGGAATCGTTCCTTAGTTCAGATCCAACCTTACGGCTATCTCCAAAAGCAACCTCCCTCGTTTGTCCATCGTTGTCATATTCTACTCAATCTCCTGGAGTTCAAATCGCCCCCAACGACGAGGTCGTCCGATAAATCTCTGAGGATGTTCTCTAGCTAACAAATTTTTTTCTCAAAAACTGCTATCGTGTATAGTTGGGGGTCAAGTATACGCTAACGTAGGTGACGGAATCCACCCTCACCTACGCGTAGTTTTCCCCCCTTTACTGTATTCTCCTTGTCGGTTTCCTCTTTACCCAGATGGCCGACGTACTAAAGGCATTTAAAAACCAGCCATCTTGTGCACGTAAGTTCCATAACTGCTCGCTCAGAATCAGAATGTTTGCGTCTCGTTCTTTTGTTATTTGTGGGATCAGCAACTGGGCGGTCTCGCATCTGCGTAGATTACCTTGTAAGATTTTGTTCATGTTTGTTCTGCTTCCGGCACTCCTCCAGCGCGGCTCGAATACCGCGCATGCCCCGATTTCCGGAATGTCCGCACACTCCCTCGCCTGCATCCGATCGCACCGCATTTCCAAGCAGCACTGTCCTTTGTCCAGTCCTTTGCAGTCCGTTCGTCCATGTCCGTAACCAAGACACCGATAGTATCTGTAGACTGTCAGTCTTTCTCTTACCTGGCAGTCGACTCAGCCGGTTTTAATTCTGCCCTTCTTAAGCAGCCTGTGGGCCGTGTCTCTATCCGTTTCAAACACTGCCATGCAGACATCGTTCTTGTTCGGTCCAAAAATGTGGATCTTGAAGTCCATGTCTTGTCCCTTCTCTCTTTTTGATGGAGAATCGAAATGGCTCATCTGTCTTCTTCACCATTACCACCGAACTCAACGACGTACTATTTGACGTGTTCTTCATCCTGACAGCAAGCATCTTTCACATAAGCCTACTTATTTCTTGATCTACCCTCAACGAAATTAGTACTTCTATTTTATAGGTCAGGTATCATCCACGTTAATCTCGTGTTCAACTCCTTTCATTCTCTTAAGCAATTTCTTGGTTTCGCTACAAGTTAGCTCACCAGCTCTTGGAGTTGTCTTCGCTAGTCTTCGGTAGCGTCAGTGATTCCGATGAAAGCTATTTCTGATAGATGCGGTAGACCGGCCATCTCTATGGGGATGATTATGCCTCCTTCCTTAATGAAGAACTCATCCCGCTTATGGTTAACTACGATTCTGAATATTTCAGCAAAGTTTACCCCTACATAGTATTCATCCGTTAGATACGGAATTACAACCATACGAATATCTTGGATAATTCCGCAGACGGTGATGGGCAGGTTAACATAACCAATGATCGTGATCTCCGAGCCATTGGGTAGCCAGGAAGATCTAGTTTTGATGATCCGCATTGAGCACTTAAGCTCCGCCACAATCAGCACACATAAGGTACCTATTGTCGTGCTGGATGCTTCCGAATCATACATTGCCCTCTTTTGAAAGTGCCTAATCTATATGGGTAACTACCACCTGGTTTTGTCTTCAGGATTATAATTACGGTTTCCTCTTTCTTCTTTCCTCTTTGGTAGCCCCAATCTCCAATTGCCTGCAACCTCTTATCTTCCACGCGTTTCACCTCAGCGACTCCGCGTTATCGGACATACCTGTAGTGTCGGAAGTTCATTGGCTGGATGTATGGGTACTCGAGATATTCGATGGAGCTGTATGGCCAATCCCGATGATGATGACTCTGCAAGATTTTCGGTGTGTAGATCATCGATCACGCCTACATCTGCCTCACATTTTACTAATACATTCTTTAGCTTGGCGTCATGGCTCGCACCTTTTTTAGAGTCACATCGTGATCTCTTGTACCTTTTTGGTGTGTCGTTCTTCAGGCGAATTCCTGATCATTGATACCTGCTAGTACCAGAAACAACGCATATCTCTGTCTCTGACTCCACTGCGTAGAGTTCATGTGATTCTTCGGTAAGCCGATGCGGTATTCGATATTTGTAATCGACGTCGTTGCTGTGGATTGTATAGCATATAGAGATATAGAGATAGAGCATTGTAGACTCATCCTCATTTCCGACAGTGACTAATTGAACTACTTTTCCGCAACCAAAGCCTTCTTTAAGTCTTCTACTCTGCAGGCCAACGAGGCCATTGATTGTATAAGCGCCGCAGGGAGTGTGATGGTCGTGCCTAAGAGTCTTCTAGTTCGAGCATCTTGCCATTACTGCTTTTGCAATTACTTGGCTGTGTCGTACTACCTTCTCTCGACGCACCCATCTGCCGTGTCTATTCCTCAAGACCTGCTGCTATGGAAAGTTAGAGTTTGGCCACTACTTCGTCTTCTGCAAGAAGCCTGTGCAGGGGGTAGTTGGTGGCTTTCGTGCCCTGGGTGGCTTTAAGCAATGTGCATTCTTTCTCTGTGAAAGACGACCGCTTTTGAGCTCTGTATAACGGTTGGATTAAGACACTAGTTGATTTTGTTTGTTTAGTATCGAACTCGATGTATTCACCCAGCATCCTATTAGGCTCTCACACTATCTGTGCGCAGCTCCAGGTCGACGAAGTTTTTATATAGATCTTCCCACGATTCACTCGTCTATCTGTGGAGCAGTGTCGTCGAGATTGTCCATGTTATGTAACAATGTGATAAATAAGATTAGCTTAACAAACGTAACATTGTGAAATAAAGTTGAAATTGCATTTTGAATGTCAAGAAGCTAGCCCGGAAAGATTGGTCGGCTAAAATGTGATCGAAAGTCAGAAAAACGTGGTTTTAATCGATTTTTTATGTTATTGCGGTTAACAAAAATTATTTCAGGTAAAATAACTTTATTTCCCTGAATCATAAAAAGAAGTATGTGGAAAAGAAGAAATTTGTAGAATTAAAAATTAGACTTTGAGTATAATGATTCATTAACGGTCGAAATTTCGAAAAATTTTAGTTTTTATCGACTTTTCACGCTTTTTGCTGCGAATACACGCATTCCATGTTGTTGCAAACTATTTGGTTTTTTTTTAAATTGAACATGTGAACAAAAAAGGGGACTTGAAGCTCTAAAAACTTTGAAAGGGATAACGTAGAGCCCCGATCAAGGTTAAAAATTCGAAAAATTTGGTTTTAATTGTTTTTTAATGCCTTTCACCAATTTTAAAAATCTAAAAAATTTCAGAACGATTTTTAAGCTATTACAAAATAACATTTATTTGGCGTTGAGTTAGTCTTTGTTTTTGCAATTATTAAGATGTTACAGAAATTTAAATTTTCTCTCCAAAATTAAAAAAAAAATACCCTTATATAAAGTTTAAGAAATCTATAACATAATAAAAAGAATTTTTTATTTTTAAAATGGATCGAAATCGAAAAACACATTTAGGCGTCTTATTTTATCGCAGGTTGGTCTGTGGTTTAGAGAATCTGCGTGTACCGTCGTGGGACCAGATGTATGTGTGTAAACGTGAGCACACTAGTCATATCTGGTTCATCTGTTTTATGATACTGATTGGCGGAGTTAGGAGGAAGAATTTGCACTGATTTGATGAGCCGTAAAGGCGAATATACGCATGAGAAGAGAGAGATAGAGAAAGAAGAGAGAGTTACGTTAGCTCAATATGGGAATTAGTGAGTTCATATAAGTGTCACCTTGAGCCTACACCCCTAGGTGACTGCGAGTGGGCCAACACGGCATAATTGCGAGCATTGGGCCGTTCACTCGTTCTCTTCATCATAAGATGCCGGCCTGGCAGCAGTTACTTTTGCATACTTTTCCTCAGTACCTCGGATCGCTACGTCATTTTAGTTTTTTGTTTCTACGATTTGGTGAGTAGTAACTTCTTCAGTATGTTACCAGCTGCCATCAACGTCCCAGAAAACTTTAGCAGAAGAAGCAGCAGTAGCAACAGCAACAGAAGTAATGACAGCGGAGATAACTACATTCTTTAACTTCCTTAGATCTATGCGCGAGCATGTTCCGTGGATACCATCAGCCTGAGTTTCCGCGTGCCCACCGTGTGTATTAGTGACGGTTGTGCAGTTGCGATACTGATGATCAAATTGGAGAGGATGTACTGTTACATTAACGTGTACTCGTACCGGCCAGTAGTACTAGAACGCTGTCCAAGTACACCACGTTATTCATCCACCGTTGGTGACGCGACATTGATCTGATCCATGTCGGGGTTAAAAATAAATGTTCATTTTTGTTATTTTTTAGCATTATCAGAGTGACTATATCTTATCCCACCATCTTTCCTTTTCCAGGCTTCCTCACGCATGCATGTTTACATCGCCGCTACATAATCCGTAAATAGAATGGCGGGTGAAAATTGAAATTTTAAAAATTTTTAATAACGACTCTTTATTTAAAAACAAGATCATCTATATATTTTAATTTTGAATAAATGTATCTTAATTTAATAAAATATGTTTGTGTTGACGTTATTCAAAAATAATTTTCAACAACAGTATGATTCGGCGGTGGTAGATATACGAGTACGTATGCATTCGAAGATCGTATTTGTTGTTACACTTAACACATACATATAATCAACGTTCTTTTACTGCTTTTAATAAATTTGTCCCTAGTCTATATATTTACGTATCGATGATTTAATTTTATAAATTACATTTTTTTGATTAATGGATTACCAAAAATTATGAACTGAAATAATTAACATAAAAAAAATCTCCAAATTTTCAGATTGGGAGCCGTAGTAGTGTGTATTCTCCAGAGTCACGGGTACGAAAAACTGGGTCTTACATCTATGAGGACTTCATGCCAACTGATGGGACAGATGTCAAAGTATACACTGTAGGACCCGATTACGCACATGCCGAAGCTAGGAAAAGTCCAGCCTTGGATGGAAAAGTTGAAAGAGATTCTGAAGGCAAGGAAATACGGTACCCCGTAATATTAAGTAATGCTGAAAAACTCATCAGTAGAAAAGTTTGTCTTGCCTTCAAACAGACGGTCTGCGGATTCGATTTACTCAGGTTCTATCATCAAATGAATTACTTAGGCCTCTTGAAATATAGTCACGGATTTATTCAAGTATTATTATATTTCTTTATCATTATTTATTCTTCTGCAGAGCCAATGGTCAATCATTTGTGTGCGATGTTAATGGATTTAGTTTTGTAAAAAACTCAAATAAGTATTACGATGATTGTGCCAAGATACTTGGTAATATGATTTTAAGAAAGCTAGCTCCAACTTTGCATATTCCATGGAGCGTACCTTTCCAGTTAGATGATCCACCTATTGTACCTACTACTTTTGGAAAAATGTAAGTCACAATTATCTTATTTATATCTTGCTTAGTATATCATGAAATTCGGCACTCTTTTAAGACAAGTAGTTGCTACAAAATACATATTATACTCCGGGGTAGAGGCGTGCAACTTTATATGAAAACATTCTAATTTCAAAAATATTTGAGATACGATACTAATATTTCATCTCCGGTTATAGACTTTCTTCCACGAACAGTGATATAATTAACTCATATAAATTAATTTTAAAAGACGAATATATAGTTGGTAATTATCTATATATTTCGAAGTTAAGAGTTTACATGTAATTGTTATCTATTTTAGTATTGATCATTAAGTAGATGATAATATAATTGCTTGTATATATGCGGAAATTATTATATATAGTTCTCAGCCTTACTTGGCTTAGAAATGGTCTTGGGTTTGTGTATATAGTTACATTGTAATGAAGAATTGACTTTTCGAACCAATCTTACCTTACATAGGGCTTCAACGACGGAAAATTTTAAGAAAAATGACGACACAAAGTGAGAAAAGGGTTTCATTTTTATTGCAAAAGGTATGGAACTTTACTCAGATGAAAATCATCGGAGCAAGAATACTCATTTTTTACCCAAGTTGACATTTTTCCACAAAATAAAATTTCTTTTTTCATTTATATAAATTCAACGTATATTAATATAAATAATTATGATATAATGTTTCCGTTTATAATACAGTATTATATATAATACTACGATGCTTCTTGTGATTTATGTATTGTAATATTAACTGTAAACTTTATAATACAATGAAAACAAGGAAATTGTAAAGAAATTCACGTTCTTCACTATCAGTGCAAGTGTAAAATTAAACAAAACTACAATCTTTGTACTTAATGTACTGAAATACTAATGGACGTAAAACATCATTCTTAATAGTGAAGAAATAAAACTTTACATTTTAGGAAGAACAGTTAGATAATTAGATACTCTTAAAAGTACAAGTGGAATTTCATTGAGACTAATTTTATACGTAGTACTTCTGGCAAAAATGTCGTGAATAAAAATTATTGTAACATATGATTGAGAAAGCTACATTTTTTAATAATTTTTACGAATATCTTAGTCTTAAATTTGATGTTGAAAAAGGTAATATAAAAGAAGAAAGAATTCTTATATGGACAGACACAGAAGAAATAATAGACGTTATATTAAATAAACCTCATATGATCCGATATTATGTTATGAAAGTAATTGCTTTAAAAAGACAAAAAAATTTCATTGCTTCAAAATAATTATCAAATTTTTTGTTCTACTAGAGAAGATAAAAAACTAGCCAAGAATTGCCACAGTATTGTCAGCCGTTCTTATAACCACACCAATTCTGAATGCTTATATGAGTGTGCGCGCGCGTGTGTGTATGTGTCACTGTAGGGGCGGTTAATTTGGGTGTCATTTGTTCCTAATATAACCTTGAAAGCACTATATTTGAAATAATAAAAAATAGATACTTATTATTATGTCAACATGAGTATGGGGGACGACAACATATGTGGCAATTCGTTGGATAATCATTGGGAGATGATTAAACAACAATTGTTCAATGTTCGGATATGTTGTCCTTATGCATATGTAAGAGTCCAAACAATCAGGGCATAATGCTAAAATTATTAATAGATATATATTATAATGTTCCAAAATTATTACAAAAAAAATTGGATCGTATAAGAAATGAAATTTTAAATAAAGTTTCTGTTTGAAGAAACACTATCCTAGATGGTCAAAATGCGTAAAAAAGTTTTTTCAAAGTTGCAAAATCAGTTTTTCTTAAATAGCTAACAAATATAGCTCCTATCGAAAAAAAAACTGTAAATAGGGAAGTTATATGTTATAAAAATATCTAGCGATTACACGTAATATCGATTGTTTTACTACTTTTCAAAATATATCGAAATAACCGTTAAAAATTGATATCCTTATAACTCGTTAACAGTCGTGTTTCTATAACTGATTTTCACCATAAGTATAGATAATGATAAGCTAATAAAATCTCTTTTTAGAAAATTCAAAAATATAAACTATTTTTCTGGATATATCGATTATATCGGCGAAAAAGATGCTCTCAAAAGTTGGTTAAATCTCAGCTATGGATCATCTTACTTTTAAATTAATAAATCATAAATAAACATTTAATAATATAGTAGTACTGTTTATAATCAAAACATGCTATTAATCGTTTCTGTAAGATGATCCACGGCAGAGGTTTAACCAACTTTCGAGAACACCTTTTACGTCGGCAATCCATAAATCGCGAAAAAATATAGCCCCACAAAAAAAATTATAAATACAAAAATAGACCAAGGTATCTATATGATATCGAGGTCGCTGAATCTGAACTCGAGATCAGTTTAGCTGGATCAGATCAGGTTCAAGGTCATTTCAAAGTCAAATACACAGAATTTGTTAAAAATAACTTGAAATAACGGGTTTCGAATAGCTAATTTCATATTTGGGGTTCGTTTAACTATTAGGTAACTTTTAAGTTCATTTTTTTGTTTCTAACATAAATAGACAAACATAATTGGACACTTGCTCACATAAGCCATGATAAGAGACAAAGTATATTTTCACACGTTAACATAGGCACGTACAGACAAAGTAAAAACACAGAATCTAAAGAGTGATGATAGCAACAATTAAGTAAATATTACATACTTAAAATATATTAAAGTCAGCTATATTTCAAGCAGTAAAGAGGATCTGCATCTTTAAGAATTATAAGAAATGGCTTGAAGTTTATTACACTTTTTATGATATGGAAAAGTTTTGTTGTAATGATCTACAAAGTGAATTTATCTTTCATTTCTTGGTTCTGATGGTAAATATCTTTTCAAGGACTAGCCGTAATCTCTTAACATCTTGATATATAATCTTTATTGATCCCTACGCTTCATTTCCTTAGTCACTTAAATTTTCAAAACAATTGTCCACATATAAATGTAAAAAGTGTAACTTCAAGATTATTAAATAACCTTGGTTTTTATAGCTTTACGCCAAATTTTGATTTCAAACTGATTTGGGAGATATTTGTAGCATCTTACATCTTTGTTTAAAGATTTAATGTACATAGATGATATAAAAATTTGTGATGGATCAACAAATGGTTCTTCTATTATATTCTTACAACTAGGTTCGAAGGGTTTTCTCAGAGGCCAGACATTTTCCATACATTGCTTTCTTGATCTCCACTATCCCATTCATATATAAAAGCAAAGATATTTCGTAAATTCGGACTCATAAACTAGTAATATAGTGAGAATTTTAAGATACCTACAAATTTGTCAATGATATTTATCGTGCTTGATTCTGTCTAAGATTTGTGACGAGAGCAACCGTTGCGCTTGTTCTCATCGGTAATTTCTGCAATTCCCCCTCTCTCTGGGCAAGGCTCAGTGACCAGCGTTAGGCGCATTTAAGAATGCGCCTAATGCATGGTCTTTATTTCAGCCTATGGAGATTGCCAAGCGAGGCCTATCCGGCCCGAAGTCGTCAAGTGGACGACAGATTATAGAGGTGTTAGAAACAGAGAGAGAGAGAGTTAGGGGCGTGCGTGCCCACGTAGGATTAGGCAGGCGCGCGTCGCCTAATAAGTAGATCAAGTGCGGAGAGAAAGAACGAGGAAGAAGCTGTCTATCGCGGAAGAGAACGAGCGACAGAATCTTTTAGTCGATCGGAAGTTCAGAAGGTTTCCAGTCGATCGGCAGTTAAGACGGTTTAGTCGGTCAGCGGTGCAGAGTGCAGTTGAAAACAAAAGGTCAGCCGAATGCACACGCCGCCAAGGAGCCGAGAACAACCGAGAGGAAAAGAGGACGAGCGCCTTGTTCCAACATCTGCTCGGGACGCTACCCGGAGAAGCCAGCAGGAGTTGCCCAGCGTCGGCCAGTAACACCATTCGCAAGGCGCAGTCAGGCCTCCCGTTCCTGCATCGAAGGTCAAGGCTCGTAATCTAATTTCTTTCTCTCTTTCTTTCTCTCTCTATCTTTAGCAGTATGGCAGAGCGTGTAATTGTAAGGGTCAGGTAGGTAGCAAGGCGTACACGCGCCTTGCTACCTGCTCTAGTTACGGTCGGTGTCACAAATTGTTCAGGTAGAGAACCTCAAGGCGATCCCTCGCCGGGCGGCTTTCTCTTTTAGTTCAAGAAGGCTAAGTCGGTTCGTCGTCATGGCGGTCATCTGCTGGGCGATGCGCGTTGTATATCGTATAAATTTGTAAGCGCGATAAGTTAATTAATTTGTTCTTTGTTCTCTATTGTTCTATAGTGTTAACACTTGTTCGCAACACCGTTGTCTTCATTAGGTTAAGATTTGTAAAGCTGGTTATAAGTAGAATATTGTGGTTTGTTCATGTACGGTTTTTGAAGTTTAAGTGTAACTTCAATTTGATTTGATTAGAATTAGATTCCATTTGAATGCGAATTGTTGTTGTGTATATAATTTCTTAATTACTTTCATTTCTTTACCTCCCCCCCCCCCCCTTCCTACCTCGATTGCTATGAGCGAGTGCGCCTCACTTGCCCACCTTGAAAATTGATAACGAACGAGCTTTCGCTACAGATTATCTCAATGTTACCTCTTCGTTTAATATAACTGAATGTGCTATAGGAACGGATGCATAAACATTTGTGTTATGTAAAATGACAGCTTATTTATTTTTTGTAGTACACTAACGAAAATTCTTTATCTTTTGCAAAATATTTACGGAATTACTTATCTCGGTCGTGGTAGTACAAATATGTAATTTTTTCAGCTTCTTTAGTATTACGAGGTCTGTCCGGAAAGTATCGGGTCTACGTTTATATCTTCGCGCCATAGTGTTTGAGCGTCCTCTACCGGACAGAAACGTCAACAGTAAAGTCTCACTAATCTATTGGTTACTTACTGACACCTGCCGGACGTATAGTTCATGCGCAGCGTGTCTTTGTTTACAGTGCCTTTTTCGCGTTCGTCGGATTTTGATATTGTCAAAAATGACTG